CCCCCAAACCTGTGAATATGTTAGGTTACAAGGCAAAGAGAATTAAGGTTGCAGATAAAATTAAGGTTGCTAATCAGCTGACCATAAAATAGGGAGAGTATACTGGATTATCTGGGTGGATCCAATGTAATCACAAGGATCTTTAAAAGCGGAAGAGGGAATTGGAAGACAGAATCAGAGAGATGGCAGCATGAAGAAGTCTTGGCATGTTATTGCTGGCTTTGAAAATAGAAGAAGATGGTCAAGAGCCAAGGAACGTGGCTAGAAGCTGGAAAGGCCAAAGAAACAGATTGTTCCTTAGAGCCTCTGGAAAGGAATATGGCCTTGCCAACACCTTGATTATAGCCCAGTGAGCTCCATTTCAGAATTCTGAACTACAGAACTAAGTGTAAGGTACAAATTTTTAGGCCAGGTGTGATGGCTCACATTTGTAATGCTTGCACTTTGGGAGGCCAAGGCAGGAGGATCACTTGAGACTAGACTGGGCAACATAGCAAGACCCCATCTCTACAAAAAATGTAAAAATTAGTGGAGTATGGTGGTGTGCATCTATAGTCCCAGTTACTCAGGTGGCTGAGGCCACAGGATCACTTGAGTTCAGTTCAAGGTTACAGTGAGCTATGATCACTGTATCGCACTCCCAACTGAAGTGACAGAGAGAGACTGTCTCTAAAAAAAAATAATAAAATAAAATAAATAAAAATTTAAAAGATACCAAATTTGTGTTGTTTAAGCTGCCAAGGTTGTGGGAATTGTTACCGCAGCCCTAGAAAACTAATATACCTGGTATATGTAAATAAATAGAGCTATTATAAAGAGTCAATATATTAATACAGGATAATAACTTGGAAAATATCTAAGATATAGTAAACACTTAATAAAGGCTAGCTAAGATTATTTTGTACTTTTATCTGTATTGTTTTACAATATGCTTTTTTCCTTTTCACATTTTTCTATTTCATTATATTTATGCCATATCATCATTTGTGATATAGTGCTTTTCAACTATTCTCAACCCCTTTTCACTGTATGCATTAATTCAGATGTGTGTCAACAACAACACACTGCATGAAGAAAAGTGTCTTCACTCCATGACAGTATCTATTTCAACAGCGTGCACTGAGAAGAGATGAACTAGTGAAGTCATCCGGCCTGTTGGTTAAGTGCTGTTTGTAAGGCATCTGAGTCAGGAAGACCCCTGAGTCAGGAAAGACCCTGGGTGTATATTAGTTGTGTGGTCTTGGGGATGTTCCCTAACATTTCTCAGTCTCAATTTTCTTCATTGTAAAATGGGGATACTTAGAACACCTATACTGCACATCTGTTATGCATATGAAATAAGATTATACGTGGAGCCCTTAGCATAGTGCTGGTGCAAAGCAACAAGTCAGTATCTGTTAAAAGGTATTGTTGTTTTTGATATTGTTACTGTAGTTGTTTATTTATCAATCTCTCTGGGATTCTGGGTCAATAAGGTTGAGTATAGAGATGACAGACCTTCAGTTGATATCTGCATTGAGAACACTGTGAGTATCTCATAAATATTACATAGTACTGAGAACAGGCATGCTCTTGATGGTAAAAGACTGTGACAGATAAATGGAGGGTAGTGGGTAAAGATGTCTTTTAAAACAGGCACATAAACATACACCTGAATAAAATATTTAACTGTTTGCTACAGCATTTGGATGAGTTTCAGAGGATGGGAGACTGATGCCAGAGAGTCAATAAAAGAAAGATAATTTGACGAGGTGGTGGACTGTCATAGCTTTTTTGCTATTGTCAGCAAATTTTTCATTTTTATTTTTAATTTTCTTTTTCTTTGATAATTTCCAGACCTAATGCTGACATTTCAATAGATTTTATCATTACTGTGATAAATTCTTTAAATTGAAGCTGTTTTGTTTCTGGTGAAGGCATGATTGCTTTGAAAACCATACTAGAGCTTTGTGTTGAAATTATGCTCATATACAGTTACTATTGGCCTATGTTCATTTATTTAAAAATTATTTATCTTGCAGAGTGTCAGCTCAACAAACGGTATTGCTCAAAAGGTCATGCTTGAGTTTTCTCTGGCGTGATTAGTTTTATTGGTTCTTATTATTTCTCAGACATTCTTTTATGAGTGTGTTACTATTGATTGTTTTAGAAATTGATTTGGTAGAGACTAATTTTGTGAAGGATGGCAGTTTTAAACCCACAGAATAGGTCATTGTAGGGCTTCCAAATTACTTCAGAGCCAGTAATTATGATAAAACTTTACTTTTTATTGGAAGGACTTCATAGGTGTTATGTTTTTCATTTTCTAAGTTTATCCATATTTCACATTTCTCTTGCTTGGAAAGGTGAAAATATTAACCAACACTGATCACCTGGAGGTAGTGACAGTTGTTCATTGTTTTATTATGTGTCCTGGGAATTGTTTGTTCCCTACCCTCCCTTCTGTACTACTTAATAAGATTAATTTCCTTCCACTTCAGAAACCCTGTGACCCTATTCTCCCTGATTTCAAAGGCCATGTCACAGTTGGGAGGGCAGTGGAGGCTCTTTAGGGGGAGAAGAGATTCTGGGATTTTGGAACACCTTCTAAATTGTTTTGCACATTTGTGAATTCTTCTTAGCTTTTTTGATTCTTATTTTTAAAAATTGTGCTTTATTGTTTTTCACAGATTTGCATTTTTTACAAACCGAAGGTTTATGGCAACCCTGCATCAAGCAAGTCTGCTGGTGCCATTTATCCAACAGCACATGCTCACTTTGTGTCTGTTTCACATGTGAAAAATTTTCACAATATTTAAGACTCTTTCATGATTATTATATCTGTTACAGTGATCTGTGATCATTGATCTTTGATGTTACTATTGTAATTGTTTTGGGGTGCCATGAACCATGTTCATAAAAGACAGTAAACGTAATCAATAAATCTTGTGTGTGTTCTGGCTTCTTCACCGACAGGCTATTCCTCCATCTCTCTCCCCCTCCTTGATCCTCCCTATTCCCTGAGACACAACAGTGTTGAAATTAGGCCCATTAATAACCCTGCAATGCCCTCTAACTGTTCAAGTGAAAAGAAGAATCACGTGTCTCTCACTTTAAATCAAAAGCTAGAAATCATTAAGCTTAATGAGGAAGGTATGTAAAAGCTGAGATGGACCAAAAGCTAGAAATCTTTTGCCAAGCAGTTAGCCAAGTTGTGAATGCAAAGGAAAAGCTCTTGAAGGAAATTAAGAGTGCTGCCCTAGTGAATACATGAATGGTAAGAGAGCAAACAGTCTTATTGCTGATATGGGGAACGTTTGAGTGGTCTGGATGGAACATTAAACCAGAGACGACATTTCTTTAAGCCAAAGCCTAATCTAGAGCAAGTGCCTAACTCTGGGAAACCAAAAAAGTTGTATGACTTACTTTATTGTGGTCTGGGACCAAACCCACAATATGTCCAAGGTATACCTGTAATAATTGTTCTGCCTATCTCTTGAGGGTATCGTGAGAAGCAGATTATGTGGACAAAAGCAGTAGACAAAAAATGGAAAGAAAATAGTGGATGAGTAAGTAGTAGTTTTCTTAAATGTAACTTATTAGCACATAGTACAGGAATATTGCATTTGAGAGGGCAATATTGCTTCTCCAGTAGCTGTTTGTTGTTAGAGTAGTTCCACTGGAAGCATGCAGGAGCTGCAGTTTCTCTGGGAGGCATGAGATGGGAGGGGAAAGCATGTATGTCCAGAGCAGTGGGCTAGCCCCAAGCTCTAGTCTTTGGTCAGTTCTAGGAAGGGGTGGATAAATACATATAAACTTTTTGCTGTGCTTGAATATTTGTGTCCCTGCCAAATTCATATGTTGAGTTCCTAACCCCTAGGGTGATGATATTGGAAGGTCTTTGGAAGGTGACTACGTCATGGCAGTAGAGCCCTTATGAATGGGATTAGTGTTCTTATAAAAGAGACCCAAGAGAGCTGCCTTGCCCCTTCCATCATATGGAGACACAGTGAGAAGGTGCCATCTATGACCCAGATTTTCTGGTGCTTTGATCTTGGACTTGTTAGCCTCCAGAGCTATGAGACAATAAATTTGTGTTGTTTTAAGCCAACCAGCTTTGGCATGGTGATATGGCAGCCTTAGGAAACAAGTACAGGTTGCTGTGAAGATAGAGTAAGACAGAGAACAAAAACCATTTTGAGAATGAAAGTGCTATATGGTTGTTAGTTGATACTTTCTTGGTTTATGTCACTCATGATCTAAAGTGCAGTACTGACCTTACTCAGGCCAGTTTACCACTTAGGCTGCAGGGGTAGAAAAGAAGGAAGAAAAGCAAAGTGATAAGATGGCCAGGTCTTTTCTGATGTGCAAACCAGTCCACATTCTTATGATCCAGTGGCATGAAAAGGAGAGAAGACAGAAGTGAACATGTAAGTGGTGATATTTTATTGCCTAATAGCCCCTCTGCTAGCAGACATGGCTAGTGTCTTGGAATTGAACCTTGTCCTTGAGGACTGTCAAAGAGGGTAGGAGGGAGGAAAAAAGTGGGAGCCTTCTCTCTCTTAGGTATTTACAGGGTACGTCTATTTAGAAACGTTACAACTTTAACTTGTGCTTCTCCCCTTGCCTGAGAACATTTGTATGGAGGCATAAGTAGGAGTGGGAATACAATAATAATTAATTTGGGGATATTTTTCCTTTACAGCTCCTTGAATCGCACACTTGAGTGAGTGTGGACAGTAGGGGAGCAGGAAGGCTGTGCATCACTGGCCAAAACCACTCGCTTGGGGCTCTTTGTCCTGTGACTTAGTTACAAAGAAAAGAACTGGGGAATGTACAACACTGTGATCCTACACCAAGCCCTGTGCTCAGGAGGGATGTGGAGATAGGAAATAAAGCAGAAAGGCAGAAAAATTGTGGTAACTTGTGTAGCCTGTTGGATGGGGTGGTTGGTTCTGCTTGGAGGAACAGGCAGTTTCCAGTTGTTTTAGGAGCTTTCTTCCACTGTTTTCCTTTCCCTGTTTTTTTTTTTTTTGCCTTAGAATGTGGTACATTTAGCTCTGTTCAAATTACTTGAGTACTCGCATTGCAGGGTTATGTGGATAGTTGTGTGCAGCAAGTCATTTTAGCGGGTAGACAATCAACAATATCAGCAAAATAAAACTGTCAAGTTTAGAGGGTGAGTGAATAGTTTTCTCTCACTTATTAATATATCTGGAGGAACTAATTTGTCTTACATTTTTAAAGCCCATACTTGGATATGAAGATTATGTTACTTAGAAGCATTATGTTTCATGAGCCACTGCACCTGGCCATCATTACAATTCTCAAAGCAGCTCTGAAATTCTATTTTTATTCCCATTTTACAGATAAGGACACTGAGGCCCATAAAGCAACTGCTCAAAAGCCTAGGGAAAGACTAGCGATTTCAGTGATTTTATAACAATAGATTGCCTTGGAGATGTATTTTTTCAGACAGTAGGTCAGATTCTAAATGGATCATTTAGAACGGACAGGAGATAGGGAAACACTGGGTACAAGAGGGTGGTTCCCTGGCAAGGGAACCTTCAAGCCAGGATACTTGTGGCCCTAAATGGGGACAGGCATTCCTGTTTTCATGCCCCAAAGCTGCCTTTTGGCTCGCCACAGCCCCTATCCTGTACCCATGTAAACCCCAGACTGCAGGCTCCAGAAGCAGATAAGGAGAAGAGTAGACAAGTGGCAGAACGGCATGGGAGGGAGAAGAGAAGGGCCATCTGAATGCTGAGAAGAGTTTGGCTGGGAATGGTCAGAGAGGAGATTGGCCACCGAATGGCCAAACTCCAGGGGAAGATCATCTTCACACTCCACCCCCCTTCCAGCTCCCCATTCGTCCCATTGAGAGCAATTTCCACCACTCAATAATACCCGTGCATTCATCCTTTGAGTCTGTATGTGACCTGACTCTTCCAGGATGCTGGATGAGAGCTTGGGTACAGAAAGCTGTAACACTGGCTGTCTGCCATTGTGAAAAGGCAGAGAGTCCACTGAGCTGGTTAATACATAAGCTGTCCACGAATGGCAAGGCTAAAAGAGTGTACTGTAACACAGCCCATTTGGGCTTTGGGAGTTGCAAGCTCTCAACCCTGGATGCTACCCTGGGGCTAGAGCCCAGGGGTGCTTGGCTCTGGCTCCTGAACCTGCCTGTCTGCATGCTCCCCCTCCCATAAGGGGTTTGAGGAGCAGTGGTGACTAAACAGATGAGCCACACCCCTGCCGCACGTCCAGCAACGGGGGGGTCAGGGAATTCTCCCATTTCAATTTCTCAGTGTTTTCTCCTATGCAGTCTGTTGTGGTGGTGGTCATTAGTGCCATCCAGCAAATGTTTTGGCATGACCTCTCTCCTGTGGAGTAACAGGGCATTTTATCACTTCTTTGAAAGTAGACATAGCCAATGAAGTATGAGAAGAAGTGATACAGCATTACATCCAGGTAAAAGCTCTGAGAGCTATTGAATTATTTGCCTTTGCCCCACTTTCCTTCTGCAACCAGAAATGCTCTGTTAGCTTAGGTCCTGGAGTTAGGATGATGTAGAACAATGACCTCAAACAGCCTGCAGTGTCTGTGTAGTGTGAGTGAGAAACAAACCTTTTCTTTAAGCTGCTGTGTTTATCATAGCAACATAGCTTAACTTGTTTTGACTGATACACTTTTGTGACATGGGTTTCATGCTCCCCACGGCTTTCAAATCTATACCTGTTAGGTTAGAAAACTCTTCTGTGGGCATCTTATTCTATAATTAAATCCAAGGCCTACTTAGAAGCCTTGGATGTTACAGAGTTTCAAATGGTACAGACAGACTGATAAGCAAAATTTATCCAGTAAATGTTTATTGGGTTCCTATGAAGTACAGAACATCATGAGGGATCCAGAAATAAATTAGGTTGGTAACCTGCCTCAGAGAAATTAGAATCTAGCAGGGAAGGGCTCTTTTTATGTATTAAATGTATACAATGATATGTACATGGTTTGTGCATTTATTCAAACATACTTGTATAAGATCTGTGACTACTATATTTGTCAAGTGTTGGGGATTTTATAGAGCAAAAAGAGATATGGTCATTCATACATGGAGTTAGGGCCTAAAAAAGGAAATTAAAATTAATCACACAAACATAGATAAAATTATAACTGGGGTGGGGGCTATAAAGAAGCACATGGTGCTATAAGGAATTATAACAGGGGGAATTATTTAGTCCAAGGGCATAATGAAGAGCTCATAGTAAGTTTGTGGAAATGCCCTGGGCTCCACAATCAAGCAGACCTGGGTTTAAATTCTGGTTCTGCCACTTTGAGCCATAAGACTCTGCTCAAGGCATTTTACCTTTCAAAACAGATATGAAAGTTTTTTTCTCAGGGTAGTTGTAAGACTAACATAAGCTTTTGACTGTGACAGTACCTGCATACTGTATATGCTATTAAATGTTAGTTACTGAGTCTCCTTCCCCTATGTGATTGACTCTATATGACCAATGCAGAGAAAGGTGATGGTGAATATGGATCTGTCTGGGGGTTAGAGAAAGCTTTGTGAAAAAAAGTAGCATTTGAGCCCAGACTTGAAGAATGGAAAAGGTTTGAATAAAAAAAATTGTCATCATATGATGAGATGATAATTATAGGAAATGGAATATTACTTAGTAGCTAAGGTCATGGGCTTCTGAATAAAACAGACCCCAATCAAAGGATCCATCATTATTAGCTCTGTGACCTTGGGCAAGGTGCTTCTTCTCTTAATTTGGAAGTTTCCCCATCCATAAAATGAGGATAATATTGGAACTATGCCATAGGATCAAAGTAAAGATCAAATGATAAAAGCATGTAAGATATTTAATACAGATCCTGGTAACTAAGGAGATGCTCAATATAATTGGCAACCAATGTTTACTCTTATAAGCAGAGAAGGGATAGTCTCTGGGTTCTTTTTTTGCAGTGCTTTAGATTCAAACTCCCAATGCATTGTTTGACTGTAAGGGGCTGATGTCATTGAGTACAGCATGAGATTTATTGTCTCCTTTGAGTATTAATCCCCACCAATTAATAGTGACAGTCACTCAACATTTAGTACCTAATGAGGTGCATCTCCTCAGTATGGCTGGAATGGTGTAGCAAAGGAGCTATGTAATCCAACTCACCAGACTTCCTTCTCACTGGCTCTCCATGACCTCCCCACTGGGCTGCCTGAGGGCATTGACTTCATTTGGAAAATGCATTTAGAAATGTCACTGGCTGGAAAGTATTAAGCTCTAAAGCCTCCTTGGAACTGTGGATGCAAAGAATGTCAGAGCCAGTCTCCTGTAAGCACTGAATCCCAAGTCATCATCTTAAAAATGGAGAAAATAAGGATTAGAAAGGGGAATGAGATGACCAAGATTGTGCCGTTGGGGATACAGCAGAAAAATAAAGAAGTTGGGTAAGGTCCTTGCTCTTATGAAGCTAAAGATTCAGTGAGGGAGATTGACAACACGCAAGAAAACAAATAATTCCAAAAGTAAAACAGAGTACAATGACAAAGAATAATGAGCGTGGGAGATATTTGATATATGGTAGTCAGAGGATTTTTCTTGGAAGAGGTGATATTTAAACTGAGACTTGAAATATAGAAAGGCACCAGCAAAGATCTGGGGCAGGAGTGTTCCAGGAGTGGAAAGGAATAGCAAGTTCAAAATTCGTAAGGCAGGAATACACTTGGTGTGTTTGAAGCTTGGTGTGGCATGAATCCCAGTGAGCTAGGGTGATAGTGGTATGAGATGCAGTGACAGAGGTCAGTGAGGCAAAATGTGTAGGGTTTAGGTCACGTTCAGGGTTCAAATTTTATTTAATTTCAAAGGAAGAGAAGCCTCCTGGAAAGTTTCAAGCAGTGGAGTGACATGATTTGAAAGATCATTCTGCCATGGTATACAGAATAGGCTGTTGGAGGATAAGAATAGAAACAGAGAGACAGTTAAGAGTTTAAATTCCAGGTAGGATTTTATTTCAATAGTCTAATTGAGAGATGGTGTTGGAGTAAACCAAGGTAATAGACTGGAGAAGAGGGAGAGAAGTGGACAAACTGGAACTATATTTGGAGCCAGATTTTGCAGGATGCTGGGAAAGAGTAAGGTAAAGGGAATGAGTAGTTGAGGATGTATTTTTTCCTTGAATTGTATTTTCCCTTGATTGATTGGATATGTGCTAGTGACATTTACTGAGACGAAGAAGGCTGGGAGAAGAGACGACATGGGGGCATAAGATTAAAAGTGGGAAGAGTTGTGGAGAGGAATTTATGGGTTAGGCCAATGGAAACTTCCATCTTTATCCCACTGGCTGAAACTCAACCTCACAGCCAGATCTAACTGCAAGGGAGACTGGGGCAGGTAATCTAGGTGTGTGACCTGAAAGAGAAGAAAATAGTTTGGTGATTATCTCTCCCACAGTGCACCACTGGCCACTTGATTCTTAGGTATGAAAGCTTCTCAACCTAAGAGTCATTCGACTCACAACTTGGGCTGGGGGTCCTTTCTTCTCAGTCATGACCTCACTTAGCCCCTTGGGAGCTGAGCTAGCCCACATTCAGGTAAGACCTGAGCTAAAATTTGGAGTAGGTTCCCCTCCTTTCTCCCCCTGAGTTCAGTTAACTTCTTTTTATACTGGAGCTCTAACACTGGACTCAATCTTTTTTTTTTTTCTTCTTCTTTTTTAAGAGACAAGCTCTCGCTCTGTCCCCCAGGCTGGACAGTAGTGGTGTGATCTTAGCTCACTGCAGCCTCAGACTCTTGGCCTCAAGCAATCCTCTTGCCTCAGCCTCCTGAGTCACTGGGATTATAGGCATGAGTCAGTGTGCCCAGCTCTGGACTCTTTCTTTATCTCAGTCATGTCCAGGCTCCTGTTTGAACATAGACCTTATATACTTTAGACTGGTCTTCTGATACCTATCCTTGTAGACTCTGTCTCAAGTTCATTATCAGTTTCTTGTGAGGAGCACCACATTTGGATGTTTGTGGCTTTGGGTATGATTCTCTGTCTTCCAAACTGTAAAGCTGGGTTTGGTAGTGTTTGAGGCAGCCTTAGAATGTAACAGATGTGCAGAATCTGGAAAACAAAATCAAAGGCCAGTTAGGAAAGAGCAGTGATTATATGGAGTTGTTAGCTGGACTTGAGTTAGTCATATCAAATAGTAATTCTATGTACATATCCTTACATTTATTTTGTGTTAAAATAATTTTTATGTATACAGTCTCATTTTATTCTTATAGCACTGCTGCAGAATATGCATTATTATCCTCATGTATCAGTCAAGATATAACCAGAGAAACAGAAGCAGTAAGATGGATGAATGGATGGGGATAGATGGATGGACATAGAATTATCAGAAGGAATTGGTTTACACAACCAGGGTCTGCTGGGTAATTTCAAAATCTGTAAGGCATGCTGTTAGGATGGGGAGGTTGGAGCTCCTTGGCATGATCTGAAGGCACAGGCAGAACTTCTTCTTCAGGGAAGCCTCAGTTCTGCTCTTAAGGACTTTCAGTGTATTGAACTAGACCCACCCAGATTACCTAGGATAGTCTCCTGCACTTAAAATTAACTGACTGTGGACTATAATCACATCTACAAAACACCTTTGCAGGAACACCTTGATTAGTGTTTGGCTGAATAAATGAGGACTGCAGCCTCTCTAAACTGACAAATAAAACTAATCATCATAGCCCATTTTATAGGTAAGGAAATAGAAGCAGAGAGTAGGAAGTTGCAGAGCTGGTTGTTAAACTTTATTTATCATTCTAAAATATCCCTTTTAGTATTTTTTCAAGTCTGTAAATTTCATATAATATTCTCAGCAGAATCTAAAGAAAATGTCTGGATTGACTTACCAAGAATGATCTAAATGATGCAATATTCCAAACAGAATAGTGAAGAAAGTTATTACCTGCTAGGCAGCCAAAAGAGTGTGAGAATGACTTATTTTTTTCCTGGTCTAAGAGTCTCATCATGAATAATTTCCAATATGGATAAGGCCTTGATTTTAAGTAAGTCAGTGATAGTAGAGTTTGCTTCTTTAATTCTTCGTGCAAGATTACGAGACACAAATCCTTAACGTTTATTTCCAGCCCGAGGCCGAACAAGTTATTGGTTTAATTATAGAAAGCTGAACTTTCATCTTTCTTTAATTGAGCATGGATAATTTGTACCTGTGATCAGTAGCCAAAATGCCATAAAATTACTTATGAAGCCTCATACTCATACCCTTTTAATGCAGTAAAAATACCAATTTTGTAGGCTTGTACAGTCATCATTTTGGGCAACCGTTTCAATTTGTTAGTAATCATTGTCAGCACTTCATAACTAATGTGGTTTGGAAAGTGTCACAGGAAGTCCTTTTTCCCTTTTGGTGATGGGCAGTACATTTAGAGAACAAGAGGCCAGTGAGGAGAGAGATGCTGGCTTCTTGGGCCCATGGTTTGAATGACAATCAGAGAACAACAGATCATTATTTTTCACAGCAAGGAAAGGAGGAAGGGTCTCAGAAATCCTAAACTAAATGTCAGCTCTTGGGTGTTTTTTGTTACTCATTCTAACATAAGAAGGCAAGGGCATTTTTATTTCTCTTCTTTTCTCCAATCACACCCTGGGAAGACAAAACTAGTATTATAGGTTATGTGTAACCACTGAGCTCGTGGTCTTTAGTGAGAAGGCACCCTAGAGGCCAAAATGACTATTGTGCCTCTTTCTGCTATAAATTTTGATGATGAAAAAGAGTGTTGGGCCACTGAATTATTGCAGCCTTGGAGACAGTTAGCAGCCCATGTGCTTAGTAACAATTGTGATCTAGTCTGAAAGAAATGCACTTGATTGTATTGCCAGTGTAGAAATAGTTGGTATAACCTTGAGGGCAAAATTGATAGGGCAGTCAATTTTTTATCCCTTTTAGGCAGAACTACCTTTTAAAAAAGAACAGTTTACAAATTTAGAGTTGAAAGAAACATAGTTTGAATAGAGTATGTTTCCCTGAAGGTATTCAAAGAGTATTTTAATGCTCTGTTTCTCAATCCAAATTATACAGCAGACAGATCGATAGTTCAAATTATTTCCTGTGGAGAAATAAAGTGTGAGACAGACGAAGAAGAGAGGATAGGGAAATAGGAGCTAGGGAGAGGGCTTAGCGTCTTTTAAATTAATAGAGAAGAACTGGCAAAGGGCAGGTTCAGACCCATGGTAAATTCGTGCCTGGAGAGGAAGCGGGGTGGCTTATGGCTTCCTGTGAAGGGAGTCTGGGTAACGTGAGGAGAGGGCTGAGAGAGGAACTGGGGACAGGTGGTAAAAGTTTTCAGCAGCCTGTGAACAAATAGTTTGAAAAGGAGGAGTTTCTCAGTTTTCTCAGCAGAAATAGAAGACATGCTCCATTGGAATTTTACAGATAATTGAATAAAGGTACAATTTAAAGATGTACAATTTAAAGGTACAATTTAGAGATGTGTGGGCAGGGCTGAGGCACCTAGGAAGAGAGGATGAGGTGCCAGGTTTTAGCAATAGCAGGAAGTTGTTGTACTGCCCAGGCCTGAAGAGCACGGGGTGAGCATGGGGACCCAGTGTTCATGGGGTGACATGACCTACCACTGTGGAAGGAGGCACTAGATAAGAGTTGAAGTTGTAGAAGGATCCAGTCATTGTCAGAGCCACAGTGCTGAGGCAGGGGGAGAGCCAGGGAACGAATGCCCAACTCCACTCTCCTGCCACCTTTTGGTCTTTCTATTAACCAATCCAACCTGAAGGCAGAGGAGACAGCAGCTCTTGTGATGTGGAGAAGGGCAGTGAATGATTTTGGGGAAACAGCAGAGAGAATAACCAGCACTGATGGAGGGTCTAGGAGGTGATGGGATGCAAGGGCACTGAACTTGCCTTGGGAGCCAACTTGCTGAGGGACTTTAAGCAAATAGCCTGATCCTTTTCTGTTTCTCCCCCCAGCCCATCAATAAAATAGGGATAATAACTTACCCATTTCCTGGGGTTGTTATTGTCAGCCTAAATAACAAACAGAGAGAGGCTTTCTAAAAGAAAAAAAAAATACTTATTTGGGAATAGTGCATGACAATGCACTGCAATGAGAATGCTGTGCCCGTGTAAGTACTCAGGGAGGTAAAAGAAAGAAAAGGTTTTTAAAGGAAACAATGAAGAGAATTACAAAATTGTTTTGAAATAATTATCCTTGGTTACAAAGCTAAATAAGAAGAGTGACACCAGTCTAAGTTTGGACAGGCAATTGCTGGGCAGATGTCCTTGCAGAAGTATTCTTTTGTGTAAGTTTGTAAAGGTCTTTGTACAAGGTTGTGTTTTTTGCATTCACTGTGATAGTGTTTCTTATCAGGTATACAAACATGAGAACCCTCTCCTCATGGACTTCTCTGGCTCTATTTGTCAGGTTTTTTTTTTTTAAAGAACAAACAAACAACAACAACAAAAAACTTTAGCGACTCCATTTTATTTGGACAATTGTCATGTTATAAAGATCAGGTGACAGATGTACCTTATTAATTTGTATTTATGTTGAATTTTATAATTTCTAAATCTTCCTCATGTCTCTTACCTCATTTGCTTCTCAATACTAATTTCTGGAGTAGTCAAGATAGGTTTTATTATTCCCATTGTATGGCAAAGATGACTGAGTTGGAGAAATTAAGTGGTTTCCTAAAAGTTACCAGATGAAGAGATTTTTTGACTAACTTGACTGTAATTTTCTCCTAGTACACTTTGAATGCTATTGAATTCAGCATTGTAGGTGGTTTTGAGGGACTATTATCATCTTTGTAAAGCATAAAAGTTCCAGATGAGGAGCCTGAGACAGTACCTTTCATGTGGTCTGGAAGAACAGCACCCGAGATTCAGGCCTGCTTTCTTATCTGGGAAGATACCACAGGGAGGGAAGCTGCCAGTTTTCATAACCAGCCACTCCTATTTCTCTCTGTGCAAAAGACAAAAAGTGGTATAGCTCATGCAGGTAGCACACAGCCACAGATTGGAGTTACCTTATGTGTATGCCTGTGCCTTGCAAGATGTGTTATTTTTTATTTTTGCCCTCTTGGAACTTACCTGTAGAATGTCACCTATGCATAAAAATGCTACTAATGGGGGCAACTTTTCTTCCCCCTAACTTGTGTCTGGTCTGTAGATATGTCAGCTATCTGGGATAATCAGATACTACTGTATTAGGGGAATTTTACCATCTGCTGCTTTTATGTGGCACTTCCTTCTTACTCAGTAAGTTTCCACCTGAGCAAGATTGGAGTACTGAAGCTCTCTGAAGGGTATTGTCTACAAAAGTAGTTATTTTGTCAGGTGAACGTGAAAGGGAAATAAAAAATAAGTCACCTGATATATCATCATAAAGATTGGTTGACTGGGTGCTGTGGCTCGTGCCTGTAATCTCAGCACTTTGGGAGGCTGAGGCGGGCAGATCACTTGAGGTCAGGAGTTCAAGACCAGCCTGGCCAACATAATGAAAGCCTATCTCTACTAAAAATACAAAAATTAGCTAGTCATGGTGGTGTGTGCCTGTAGTCCCACCTACTCAGAGGCTGAGGCAAGAGAATCGCTTGAACCCAGGAGGTGGAGGTTGCAGTGAGCTAAGATTGGACCACCGCGCTCCAGTCTGGGCGACAGAGCGAGACTCTGTCTCAAAAAAACAAAAGCAAAAACAAAAGGAATGGTTGCAGTGATTGAATCTAAATATCCCAGGAGGGAGGCACTCTTTGGGAACTGCCGTAAATTTCAGACCACAAGGGCACCTAACCTGAGGTTACTCCTGAAAAGTCTGAATAAATGAATCTACTAACATAGTTCTGCCTTTGCTTGAACACTTCTGGTCATGGGGAACTCAGTGCCCTCTGAGTTAGCCCACTCGGTCCATAAAGAGTTCAGTAAAAATGTTTCACTCAATCCATTCCAATTTCACCCAAACTGAAATTGGAATGGATTGCCTCTCTGGTTCTAGTTACTCCACATCTAGTAATACACAATTAGCCCATTTCAGCAGCAACGTTGCACACTGTTGAACTGTATTAAGCTCACTGTCTACTAAAATCAGATTACAATTTGTCAGTTTTACATGACATACTGCTGCTAAATCAAATCTCAGACATGTTTCACTTTTTTAGGTTTTATACCCAATCTTGTATTTTTATTTATGTTAAACTTCCTTTTATTTAGACTGGCTTGATGGTTATGAGTATTTTGGATGTTGATTTTGTTCATATAGTTGCTATTGTTTCAATTGCATGTTCAATAAATATAGCCCCTGTATCTTCATCTAAATCATTGATTAAAATGCTAAACAGGGCTGGAGAAGAGTTGTTAGAGGCCTACTGGGTTCCTGGTGACTATAGTAGGGAGACATGGGGAAGAATAAATTATGAAGAGTGACCATAGTATGTTGTAAAATTAATGAGTTAGTAGCAATAGGCCTAGAAAAGTAGGTTATAAGGAGCCTAGGAAATAATTTATCCCCATTCTGAGGGACGTAATTTGACCTGTTGTTTTTGTTTATTTTCCCCAGGTTTATTGAAGTATAATTGACAAATTAAAATTGTATATATTTAAGGAGTACAAAATGATGTTTTGATATATTTACAGATTGTGAAATGTTACCAAAATTAAGCTAATCAACGTATCTATCACCTTACGTAGTTATCTTTCTTTTGTGTGTGTGTTAAAAATACTTAAGATCTACTCTTTTAGCAAATTTTCAAGTATACAAAACATTTCTTTTCTTGAGGCAGGGTCTTGCTCTGTTGCCCGGGCTGGAGTGCTATGATGTGATCATGGCTCATTGTAGCCTTAAGTCCTGGGCTCAAGTGATCCTCATACCTCAGGCTCCCGAGTAGCTGAAATTATAGGTACATGCCACCGTGTCCAGTGAATTTGAAAATTTTTTTGTAGAAACTAAGTCTCACTATATTGTCCAGGCTGGTCTCGAACTCCTGGCCTCAAGAGGTCCTCCTGCCTCAGCCTCCAAAAGTGCTGAGATTACAGGTGTGAGTCACCATACTTGATCATACAAAACATTATAATTAACTATAGTCATCATGACCTATTGTTTTTAGAATATTTAGCTTTCTTCACTTTTTAATCTATGGTTAATTTGCATAGATGTTTCATGCATGCTTGAAAGAAATTATAGATCCATTTTTAGATATGGATTATGATGTATATTAGACTAAATGTATTTTCCGTAATTTTTTTCTACTTGAACTATAAAAAATTAAGAGGGGCGTGCTTTAATGTTTTCCATTGCTGTTGTGTTTAAATGGTTCTCTTTTCAAACAAAATGTAAATATTATGATATGCTTTTTTCTTTATAAATGGTTAAGTTGCTGTCTTAATTGTGAATTAATGAATTAATCTGTTTATGTTCTTTATTGCTTTTTTGCTTGAATTAAGCATTGTCTGATATTAATATCACAACCCCTGAACTCGTTTGATTTACATTTTCTGGTAAAACTTATCTATCCTGGGCATACCCAGTGGTAGTGGTCTGGAGTTTCTCTGGGGAGAGGCTCCAGAGCCATCTGACTGCCTCTGTTCCACTGCCACAGCAGTGGTTCTATTCCTGCTGCCCTAAGTCTTTGGAAGAAACAAAGAGCCTGAGGGCTACACCTGAGCTTACAGCATGCCGCTGTCACCATATGGAGAGGAGACTAGTCTCTCTTCCCAGTGAGCCCTTTGCCTTTTGCTCCCCAACAAGAGGAGCCCCAAGCTCACACCAGCAGTGCAGCTGCCCGACCCCAATGACTGAACACTCTGGGTAACAGCTGGGAGTCCACATTTATCAGGCGTAGAGCCCTCTGGAGCAACTGAAAGCCACTCTGCTACTACCTCTGTAGTGGTACTATCCCTGCTACCCTCAGTCTAATGAAGGAGCAAAGACTGTAAATGTCTTATTCACACCTCTAACAAGCTTCAGTTGACCTATGGGGAGGAGGCCAGTCCTTCTCCCACAGGCTCCACCCCGTCACCCATCACCAAGCAGGGAACCCCTGGCTTGGGCCCACAGCACAGACCCCCTATCCTGGGCTGATTGCTCTGAGGGATTGCTGACCTGCATCTCTCTGGGATGGAGCCCCCAGGAGACAAGTGAAAGATCGTCAGCCACATCTATTGATAAGGCCTCTTCCTCTGCTGCCTCCAAGTTGGTGAGGAAATATAAACCTAGAGATCACCCCACAGCAGTGGTGGGCAGCCCAGGAGTGCCAAGCCACGATCTACAGCCAACACTTAAGTGGGAGAGGAGCCCACACTTTCAGGGCATTGAGAGGGAACACAGTGACTAAGCAAGAACCTGCCAACTGACCACTCCACCTAAGTGCCACTTATTGGATCATACCCCAAAGCTTCAACACCAAAATACCTCACTAACCCGCCCACTGTGAAACCAAAGGCAAGATGTCAGTTACAAATGAAGACCCTACACAAAGCCTTGGCCCTGTGAACAAACCCAGAAAAGAGGTCTACTGACCATATTCAATCTATGTCACAGTTAAAGGAACACACACATGTAGAGATGAGAAAGAATCAACATAAGAACTCTGGCAACCCAAATGGCCAGAGTGTCTTATGTCCTCTAAATGATTGCACCAGTTCTCTAACAAGGGTTGTTAACCAGCTGAGTTGTCTGAAATGGCAGAACTAGAATTGAGAATATGGATAGGAATGAAGATAATCAAGATTCAGGAGAACAGCAAAACCCAATCAAAGGAAACTAAGAATCACAATAAAATGATACAGGAGCTGACAGATGAAAAAGCCAGTATAAAAAAGAATCTGATAGAACTAAAAAACACACTATTCCTCCCTCTACCATTAACTTTCCTTCATCTCTTGTTATATTGGCATATGTGAAATTTTATTCCCATGTATTGGCCATTTATGTTTTTTGGGAAGAATGCTAAAATGGTAGATGTGAAAAGAATGGGTTAAAAGTGGAGGTGGATAAGGAAAGCAGTTAGAACTTACTATAGAAGTTGAAGGAAGGAGGCGGCGATGTCAGAATGAGACGGAAGGGACCAGATAAGGGATTATTTAGAAACCTAGTTTCAATTTTATCTTTGCTATGTTACTTTCTTCATTGAAAATAAATGTGGTCCATCCATATTATTTCCTTATTCTGTGTCACTCATGCCAATAGATCATTCTTCTCTCAATGTACTTGACTAGATCTCAGTCTCAGAATATTTCTGTGGTGTATTCTAGTTTGAGAATACTTGAATTTATTTGTTTCTCCTCCTGTGGTGATACACCTTTCTGATTTGTGTCTCCTTGAAACTTTTAAGCTGTGTGTATATCTTGGAACCTGGTCATCTTCATATTCGGAAACCCCCAGAGTGTTCAGAACAGTGTGTTGGTTCCCTCAGTATCTCCACTTAGTTCTGTATGATTCACCTTGTGATTTCACCATGGTCTCTTTCTTTCTTTCTTTCTTTCTTTCTTTCTTTCTTTCTTTCTTTCTTTCTTTCTTTCTTTCTTTCTTTCTTTCTCTCTTTCTCTCTCTCTTTCTCTCTTTCTCTCTTTCTCTCTTTCTCTCTTTCTCTCTTTCTTTCTTTCTTTCTTTCCTCACTGATCTCAGCAGATCTGCTTTGCCTGGACACTAACAATTAATTTTTTTCTCTTGTTTTAAAATTAGAAAAAAAAATTTAAAGCAAAGCCCCTCTACTTTGTTGAGGTAGAGACAGAACAGTCAGCACTAGATTATAATGTTAGTTTCTCCTCACAGTGGGGCTCTGTATAGCTTCTCTGGACTGAGCAGGTCTTGGTTGACCAGCTTTGTTTAGTCTTTTTTTCTAATGAATTCATTTCTGAGGATCATAGCAAAGAAGGAAATGGAAGTGAGGAGTGAGAAAACGCCTCCTGCAGCAGTCTTCTTCACTCAGGCCTATGGGAAGAGTTATAGAACCTTCATGCAGGTCTTCTTCCCCCCAGAGCCTTCATTTTTTCTTTGTGCCCTCTGCCCTCCAAAAGTCAACAGAAAATTTTCAGCAGTACTTAATTTGATAAGAAATGTGATCCAGGGAGGTGGTCTCTCCCTGAACATCTGGAAGGGCAGACTTCTTGCCCAAGGCAGAGCCTCAAAATAAGATAACAGTTTATAGGAGCTCTAAATGAGCTATTTCACACAAAAGTACTTTGTTTACATTCCAAACACGAGGTCTCCATGTGTGAGTGACTACTTTCTCATACACATGATCCTTTGTCTCATCCTCATAATCACCGAGTAGCTCAATTACTGTGTGCTAGGCTAGGCACTGGGATAGATGTTTTACATTCATTACTTGGTTTTGTTTTGTTTTCTCATATTCTAATGGGAGCTAAATACATTCATTATTTTTTTAAAACACTAACAGCAATGTACTGATGTAGTAAATATTATAAATTTCCTTTCACAAATATCAGATTAAAAAAACTCCAGGAGACAAAGTCATTTTCCTCAGGTCACATAGGCCGTTGGTCATATAGGCTAAGAACTGCACCAAAAGCATTCATTTCTCAACCCTGTCCACTCACCCCCTAAACTGCACTGCCTCTTTAACGTATCGCATAAAGCCCTAGTACTTTCATGTCATTAATATTATTATGGTTTATTGAGACCTCATTATGCACCAGACACCTACTATCCTAGAAAGGTAGAGACATTATTCGAATCCTCACAACAACCCTACAAAATATTTGTTATCACCATTGTGCACATTTTTTCTATGCCCAATAAGTAGCAGAATTGATTTTACAAATCAGGGTAGGTCTGTCTTCAAAAACTGCTCTCTGTCTCTCATACTGCCTAATGGAAGCCTATAGTAGGTTTAATTGTGGCCTCTCTAAAATATATCCTTGTCCTAACCTTCTGTGAATATGACCTTATTTGGAAAAAAGGGTTTTTCAGGTGTAATTAAATTAAGCATCTAAATATGAGACCATTTTGAGTCATCTGGTTGGGATCTTAATCCTATCACAGATGCTCTCATAAGAGACAAAAGAGGATGACAACAGAGAGAAGATGAGAAGCTCACGTCAACGCAGAGGCAGAGATAGAAGTGATAGAGCCGCAAGCCACGATGACCTGGAGCTACCAGAAGATGGAAGAGGCAAGGAAAGATTCTCCACTCTAGCTTTTAGGTGGAATCTAGCCCTACCAACACTTGATTTCAGACTTCCAGCCTCCAGATCTGTGAGACAGTACATTCTTGTTGTTTTAAGCCATTCATTTTGTGATTTCTTACGGGAGTGACAGGAAAATAATACATAGCCTATTTCATTTTGAAACCACAGACTAACTCATACCATTTCTTTAAAAACTCAAAATGTACCCCACTTTATTATGGCCATGAGTGCCTTTGGTGTCCTCCAGCTGGACTGATTTTCTGACTTCCTTACTCACAGCCTTTGAGGACCTCTCTTCCACCGGAGCATCAGCCCTGGACGTGCTTTTGTGCCTTTGCTGACCTTGGTCTGGACCTTCCTTCTGCTTGTGGAACCAACTTACTATTCCCCAATCTTACATTGTAATCTGCTGACCTCATTGTCAAGTTTAGTCTGACTGATACCTTTCCCTAAAATCCTGGAGGGAGAGCCCTGGCTAGAATTAATTGCTCTGTTTCTGTGTGCCCAGAGAGGTCTACTTATACCTACCTCTATGTATTACTTATGTCTGTCTGTCCTGTATTGTAGTTCATCAATTGCCTGTGAAATCCTGGAGCCAGGGCAAGAATTTTTATCTCAGTACTTCTCATGGAGCCTGCCACAGAATATCTGCTGATGCCTCCTGACTTACCTCTGGATACCCATGTAAGTCTCTACAAAGGGTTTCTTAAACTTGAATTTGCAAGAGAATCACTGAACGAACTTGTTAGAAATGCAGTTTCTGGGCTTCTGCAAATTCTTTGCTTTTGGGAGAGGGACAGGAAGCTATATTTCTTTCAGGCAACACAAGTAATTTTCAGGCAGTGGTTGCCTGACTATACTTGGAGTGGTCTAAAATTTGAACTAGAATCTCCTGTGGTATTCACCTGTTGAGTAACAGTTTCATGGATTTCTCTTGGGATGTAACGAGTGACCTAAAATTGCATTCTGCTTGGGAAAAGAAGAATCAAATCATCCTTTAAGACTTTGGTCAAAAGAGACTGCACATTTGATCCTATTTCTAAACTGTGTCTCAGTCCACCTGAAATGCATTTCGTATTTCCTGAGCTGCTGAGGATTTGGAGTCGGTTTCCTTATTTAAAGCTCACATGCTCTGGGCTCTCAGCAGGCACATGGCTAGGATTGTCTTGCTCAGACAGCACAATTCTTTTCTGTCTCTTAAACAGTTGCAAGTTCTAGTGCTTCTGTGCACCTCTCCCTGTTTAACTTGATTTCAAAGAGCTCCAACCATCACTTTAGGCATTGATGGAAAGAATGTGTTGTGTAAGTATCTATACTCATTAAAGGAATAACTCATTGTGCTGTATTTTTGTCTTTGGGGACATTATGAACTTTTCCCTCCACTTAGGAATGTCTTATGTCCTTGATAGCTTCTGCATAACACAAAATCACTCAGAGCAAACCTCAGCATAAGATAAATGAACTTTTCTGAGCTCCAGTTCCTCATGAAAATAGGTATAATTGTACCTACTTCATAGAATAGTTTTGAGGCTTAGATAAAATAATTTACTAAATAGAAAACGTTTAATAGGATATCAGATTCACAGGAGGACCTAAAAATCTTAATATTGTAATTATAGGCAGGCTTAATATTCATAATTTCAGATGTAACCTAAAACTTCTTTGTCATTCCCCTCTTCCTCATCAACATTGCCATCATCAAATTGCTGGATTTTAATTAGATTTTACTCTGTGTGCTGGGGACATTCTAAGTCCTTGACATTCTGTACCACAATTCCTTTACTGCCATAACAAATTACCACAATCTTAGAGCTTAACACAACAAAAATCTACCTCATAGTTCAGTAGGTCAGAAGTCCAACACAGGTCTTATTGGATTGAATCCAGGTGTTACAAGGACTGCATTCCTTTCTGGAGGCTCTAGGGGATAATCTGACTCCTGCTAATTCAAGTTGTTGGCAGAATTCAGTTATTTGCTGTTACAGATCTGAAGTCCCTGTTTCCTTGCTGACTGTCAACTGAGTACTGTTTCTAGCTTCTAGGGGTCACCCACTTTTCTTGACCTGTGGCCTCCTTCCTCAATCTTCAGAGCCAGCAAGGGTGGGTTGAGTCCCTCTCATGCTTTGGAACTCTCTAGCCACGTCTCTGTCTGACTTTTCTGCTGCTTCTTCCACTTTTACTTTTACGGGCCCATGTAGTTAGATTGTGTCTACCCAGATAATCCAGGACAATCTCCCTATTTAAAAATCTGAAACCTTAATTTCACTTTCAGCATCCCTTTTGCTATGTAATATGATGTGTTTACAGGTTCTGGGAATTACGACATGGACTTTTTTTGGGGAAGGGGACATTATTCTGCCTATCACATATTCATTGTCTCACTGAATTTTCTCAGTGTCTCTATTTTGTTGTTCCCATTTTACAGATGATAAAAGAGAAGGCTAGTGAGATTAAATAACTTGCTCGGGTCCAGTTGATGATAAGCGGTGAAGCCAGGATACAAATCTAGGGACTTTGCTTATAGAATATGATTAGTTTAGAACTATGCTAAGTTGGGCTATAAGATTAGCTCTGGTACCAGGGCCAGGAACCCCTTTTCTGTGTTTATGACCTGGGATAACACAAAAGGAGAAAAAGACTGGCTTGGATTTAACCACTTGGGAGAATTTAATTTTCCACAGAAGGTCAGAGAGCCAAACAAGAGCTCTCAAGTCTGTCTCAAAGATGTATGTTTCTGACCAAGTTTTTTTGACATAGGGCATGAACACCATCTTATTGCTCATTTCACAACTTTCTCCCAATTTCATACCTTTTCCATTCTAACTTTCTCACCACTGAAACTTTCACAGGAAGTTGGCGGAAACATTATTAGGAACAAGAATTTATCTCAGCAAATATGTAGAATACCTCATAGGGTCACATCTATTACCTATTTAATACTTACCCTGTGTTAAATGCCTTACTTAGTGACCCTGCAGGTAGATACTATTAACGGGGGGAACTTACAGACAAGGAAGCTGAGACACCGATAAGCAAACTTGTTGGGATTTCACTCTTGGCATCCTGATGCCAAACCATGACACTCTGTGATCACTGTAATCTTCTCTTATCAGATGAAAATATTTGGATCTTTTTTTTCCCTGCTCTTAGCAATTTCCATACTTTGCCGTTAACTGAAGTATCTGATACCAGGCATCTTGGCATTCAGGCTGCTCTCCTATGTCCAGCTGGATGCTATGATAATAGAGCCTCCATACCGCTAGGCCAGGCAAAGGAGAAAATCATTTTCAAACAAGGAGTTTGCAGACTATCACCTGGTGGCTCTGTGATTTGGTTTGGCTGTGTCCCCACCCAAATCTCATCTTGAATCCCCACATGTCGTGGGAGGGACCCGGTGGGAGGTGATCGAATCATGGGGATTGAGTTCCCCTACGCTGTTCTTGTGGTAATGAATAAGTCTCACGAGGTCTGATGGTTTTATAGGGCGAACCCCTTTTTGCTTGGCTTTCATTCTGTCTTTGCTGGCCTCCATGTAAGATGTCCCTTTGTTCTTACTTGCTCTTCTGCCATGATTGTGAGGCCTCCCAGCCACGTGGAACTATGAGTTCATTAAACCTCCTTTTCTTCATAAATTACCCAGTCTTGGGTATGTCTTTATCAGTAGCATGAAAACAGGCTAATACACTCTGTTTTATTCATATGTAAATGCACGGTATATTCATATATTAAGTGCAGAGAACTTTTATATTATTTAACCTGAAGTAGATAAGTCTTCTGACTCCTCAGGTTTAAGTGGGAGCCTAGAACTTTGTCCCAACTGTTATTATTAGTCTCATAGTATGGGCCTTTTTGATAATATTATTTCTTTATGTCTGTATAAGTCTATGTTATTCATAACATAGTTTTAAATGTTTTTGTTCAATCCTCAAAAACATCTAGTGAAATAAGATAAGAAAAAAAATCACATGATTATAATTAGATGGTGATGATGAAGATGAAGAAGAAGAATGCTTACCATATGCCAATGTCATATACTCTTGTGGTGGTTAATACTGAGTGTCAACTCGACTGGACTGAAGGATACAAAGTATTGATCCTGGGTGTGTCTGTGAGGGTGTTGCCAAAGGAGATAAACATTTGAGTCTTCACTGGGCTGGGAAAGACAAATCTACCCTTAATTTGGCTGGGCACAATCTAATCAGCTGCCAGTACAGCTAGAATATAAACAGGCAGAAAAATGTGAAAAGATAGACTGGACTAGCCTCCCAGCCTACATCTTTCTCCCCTGCTAGATGCTTCCCCCCCTCGAACACTGGACTCCAAATTCTTCAGTTTCGGAGTATGGACTGGCTCTCTTTGCTCCTCATCATGCAGATGGCCTATTGTGGGACCTTGTGATCATGTCAGTTAATAATAAACTCTCTTTCTCTCTCTGTGTGTGTGTGTGTGTGTGTGTGTGTGTATATAAATATATATATGTGTGTATATATATGTGTGTATATGTGTGTATATATATATTCCATTAGGTCTGTCCCTCTAGAGAACCCCGACTAATACACTCTACATGTTTTAACTTGTTTAATCTACTCAATATCTATTGGGGTAGGTATTGCTACTATTTCCATGTTAAAGGTAAAGCTAATTTACTTCTTCAAGTTCATCCATCTAGTAAGCATGGGACTAGGTTTTAACCCAGGCTACTTGACTCTTAGGACCACATCCTTGGCTAAGGCTCCATAGCATTATTTTCATTCTGTAGCTAAGCTAATTAAGATCCAGAGTGAAATTAAGATTTGTTATAGGCCACCCAGCTGGCGATTCTAGGACTCTGACCAAGTTTTCTGCCTTCTATTTGGAGGCAGTAATGATACAGCAGAATTATATGGAATCAGAGAGAGAGTTCAATTCACATCATGGCTCTGTTGGACAATAAACATGTGACCTTGGGTAAATCATGAATATTCTCTAATCTTTAATTGACTCAGGTAAAAAATGGGGGTAATCATACCTATTTCCTTAGGTTATCAGCAGAATGGAGATAATGCATGTAAAATGTTTTGCATGAAGTGAGTAAACAATAGCTGTTATTATTAGTCAATGCTCTTTCCACTACACCAGCTGCCTCTCTAGAAATAATGGAGCAACGCTCAATTATTTTTAGCGTGAGCCATAGGCTGTTGGCAGGCACTACCTGATAAATCAACATCATCATAGGGGACAGGCTCAGAGGTATGTCCCAGACCTGGGAAATACAGTGGCTAAGACTAGGATACCTAGTAAGGTTCCAGTGAACTTGGTATGTCTAATGCAATCAAAGCTGAGAATTGGGGCTTGTTAATAAGCTTCATCCTCTCTCCTTAGCTGTTTTCCTAGATGAGTCTATAGTAAACATGATTGCTTATTATCTTTTCTGCTGCATGTAAGCTCCCTCCTAAACATGAGATTCCAAAGGCAGTTCTGGAAAGCTGAGCAAAATGTGGTGGTGTTGGGGAACTGGTGAAGGCTGAAGATTGTTCTTTGTGTCACATTATAAGTATTGGAGTAGATTACTGAAGTATACATTGGTGGTTAGTTTCTAAAGCATGATCCTTTGAATAAACATTGATGTGCCCCAGAAACAGAGTTCTGTTCAGAATGATTTATGGTCTGTGGTGCTATGGTGTGATCTGAATTACCTTTGAAAG